TAGATGATACAAAGTTTTTATTTGTATAATTAATTTGCTTTAAACATAGTAAATAATAATTGATAAATTAAGTTTTCGATAGGTGCGGCGTATATACCGGGTTTACCCTATAGTGATCTAGCTTTGACCGTAGATGGTTTAGTAGACCGTTAGTTATTGCGGTTTCCTTATTCTTGTTAATTTACAATTTTTAATATAAAAAAGATGCAGTTCCGGAGCGATTGTTATTCTTTAACCGTTATGCACATCCCGCCCTTTACAGAATGACGCGAGAGTTACCGGTTTAACGTTCGTATGTCACGGCAGCTAAATCGATTTCCTTTTTTACATATCTCAACGATTTCTTTAACCCTTTAATAATAGCTGCGGATCCAGTTATGTGAGTCTCATCCGTTGACCGTTTCTTATAGACAGCCTCCTGTCTCTCCCCTTCTTGAATTTTTCACGATATATGCACGTACATATAACATACCGGTATGACTTGTACAATGTATACACAAAAAGAAAACAAAATCTCTTTGAGATGACAGCTTGTGAGAAAATTTTATTAAACTTACCTATAAATGTTGTTAAAATTCTCTAATCAGATAGACGTATAGTAAATAGTTAATAAAAAAGTAAAAAAATGTTCAATAATTTACTTATATATCTATATAAACTATAATGAGCGCAAAAAGTATTCGTACCAAAAAATGTTTTCATTTAAAAAAGTCTTATTTGTAGAAAATAAATATCAATTAGCAATTTTATAGAATGAATAGATTTTGTTCTAACATAAACAAACAAACTTCGCGTATATGCTTGATTTTAGAAGCTAAATTTTCGACTGTATAAATACTTTTTAAGCGTTCAAACAGTATGATTTTTAACTTTTGCTTACTTTTAAGATGATATATTTTCTATGATTAATGCATCTTTTTGATATATATAATTTTGAGAAACATATACAATAATCTACTTTATTTTTTATAAATAAATTATTAATTACCCAATAAGAAATCGAATTCACGTCAAATTGGTGTCGAAATTATCGTATCGATATCGATTCAACATCAATTTAATGAGTCATTTTTCGTTGGACAATGTTTACTTTTTAAAAATAAGATTTTTGAACAGAATATCTTTCTTGTACGAATACTTTTTGCATTTACTGTAACTTATATCTACATAAATTTATATATATAAGTTAATTATTGTAAAATAATTTGAATGTTTTATCATAATATTTATTCTTAATTCTATTTAATTTATCTAATCAATTTTTAATCAATAATGTTATCTTTTCTCTTCTCATCTATTATATATCCAGCTTATTTTTCTCCATTAAATTAATTAAAAATAATTTTTTTATTAATACTATTAGTGAAACAAATATGTCACGCTTTTGTTTCAATAACATTTCATTTTTAATACTGTTATTAAATTAACAAGATTATTTTTAATTAAAATAACTATTGATACATAATTATTTTTTCAGTAATAAAATTACAGTATATACGTATATACTATTATTGTGCAATTGGGAAGATGCTATTAGCAGCGTTATTTATATTATTCTAATCTTGTTTCATGTTTAATGAATCATAAAAATAGAATGACACAAAGCTACAAAAATATAAATCTCGCTCTATCTTAGGAAAATATATAACCAAGCTGTTGATTTAAATTGACCACCCTCGATCAGGGTGCTGATTTTTGAGAACATTGACACGCGCCACCCGCAGCATGCGATATGCCCCTGATGGGAATTGATTCGTCAACGATTCAGCCAAGATCGACGTGAATCATTCGGAAAGAACAGTTAAATGAATTCTCGTCGACGCGCAACGTTAACTATGCGGGTACCAACTAGTCATTGCATTGGGGGAGATTACCGGGATAGATAATTGGTTAATGACTCCCGCTATTTTCAGCTCACCACGATAATATAAGCATGGCGATCAATTTGTTTTTACTCTGTACCATATCAGTTACTTCGCGATAGAATTTCGTCTATCACAAAAGTTTTACGTATAATTGATATAATGCAATCCGGATCAGTTTTGTTTTTTACAAGTAATCGAAAGAGATTAAATTTTTAAATAAATTTTGAAATAAACAACATGGAAAAGTATTTAAAATGAAAAGTAATTTATTTTGAAACTTCCATTTATGATATTAACTTATAATTATTTTAAAAGATAATATAGAAATAATAAATAATGGCGAAAGATATGTTGTGAGATTGGATGTAAAGATTTAAAATTTTACAATCTTTAAAAGACGAAGTCCTCTTCTTCTTTCTTCTTCTAATTTAAACACATTATTTTTATTTTATATTTCTTAAATTCTTATTAAATTACTTATCAATTTAATATGTAGGTAATATTACTACGTATTTTTGTTTATGATTACATTTTAAGATCTAAAAATATTTCGACACGTTATTTGTAGAATTGGACATGTACCATAAAAATACATTCTGAAATATTTAAGTACTAAGATTCTCTTTGACTAAAAATATTTCTTTTAATTGATTTATTCTCGTTGTTCTAATATAAATTTCTTCTTTCTCTTCGTCTATCGTGGTATTTACCCAGATAACATTTATGTTGCATAACGTTTTTTAGATATCTTATGCAACATAAATGTTATCTGGGTAAAAAGTTATAGCAATAAAACTCTGCATAGTACTTATAGATTACAGCACACACAAACGTACTTTTCTTATTATAATAGCTCTAACAACTTTATTGTTTTTAATTTAAAGGCATGAAAATATATCTATTGGAGGCGAAAGTCGTTTGAGTTTAAAGGGATTTAAAAATTTCTTTCCAAGATTACAATTTTCGTCATTTTAAATTTAACAATTTTTTTAAACTACTCCATATTCGTTCTTTCTTTTTCTTTGTGTAAATAATGATTTCTATGCTTGTCACGATCCATGATTATTGTAATGCAACTCGTTATTTCCGATAAAGCAGATGGCCGGAAATACAGTCCAGTTTCTCGATGCGGCACGGGTAGTTATTTATGCAACACTTAGCGCGCGAAGGGTGGCTACCGAAACTTGGGTGGGAAACAGTGCTTCGGTATTTTTGCATCCCCTGCATTCTCACGCAAGCGCCGATACAAATGAAAGGCTACCTGTGCGAGAGTATCATTTTTCGGACAGGTACGCACACACGTGTGACTCATTCATTTTCATTGATTTAATTATTGTGACACTATTAATGAACAAAAGTACGATATAATGACTTTGACAATTGCCTTCTTTATTAAATTAATTTATAAATTTACATGTATTCGCTACAAACACATCTATTTAGTGATATATCATTATTAAAAAAAAAAGTTACGTGTAAAAAATGCATAAATTGTTGATAAGAAAATGCAAATTATTAATTTAAGCACAGAATTATATTTTCTAAAATTGTAAGAAACTTTCAAAGTTTCTTACAACTAAATAAAAAGTTCTAAATGTCGTGAACAATTAAAATTAACTACTTAAATTAAATTTTATTTTTATATATATTTTTAAAATAAAATAACATGATTATTAATTTTAATAAAATAGAAAGGTATCTCAATTAAGCAACATAATCTTTGAATCTTCCTATAAAAATATTGATTTTTAATTTGTATAAATTATATAAATTATTATAATTTTCTAAATTATCACTTTATGGATTAATCTTTCATAAATTTTCAAATGTTTGTTTTATTCGAAAATTAATTAGCAGAGATCAATGCTTTTCTCTCGGTTTTTCTATAATAACACAGAGAGATTCGCGAGTTTTTTGAGGATTCATAGCCTATTTCGTCTGTTGTATATGTCTAAATTTGAAGGGAGAGCACGTCATTTCTTGAACCCTTCGACCTCGCAACCCTCTAGGCCTTTCTGACCCTGATCCAAACTATGGGTGCTATTGCACAGTCGCTTGGTTTCGTACATTTCTATACTCACATCTGCCTTATGTTCTCACGCTATTTTCCTTCCAGCTTAGAGTCTCCGAGTAACGGCGATGAGCTTTGTTATCGAGATACAAGGGATTAAGCCGGTGTCCAGAAAATAAAAATATTCATTTTTTTTATCGCGTAAAAGTCAGAATTTTTAGGAATATTTTCCGATTAGCTAGATATTGTTGTTTAAATAATTAAATTAAAGAGAATTTTGTTTCAAAAATGTTTAAACTTGTGTATTCTATTATATTTATGCGTTTAATAATATCAAACTGTTTTTAGCATTGTCAGATCTGTTTTTTTATCATATAAGTCATTTTATTTTAAGTAAATGTTTCCAACATAACAGTGATTACCATGAATTACTTAACAGACATAATTCTATTACTCTGGAAACACTATACTCTGTCATAACTTATGGTAAGCATTTTAGACATTCTGCAAGAAATAAACAATGACTCTGTTCCAAAGGACTGGTATTAATTGCAATTATGTCATTTGAGTCGCCTATATGAAATAATACTTCTTGCGCGCGCTGTGTTAGTTTAGTAAAATTAAATCGTGTAGAGCTAAAAGATTGCACTATAGACGTGATTGATTCTGGAGCATGTCTATACTGAGATCTGTCTGAATTTAACTGAAATTGTTATTGCATTATGCGTTAGATGCAAAACATACATTCTTTTTACATAATAATAAATATACCTATATTAAAAATCTGTATTTTCCCTTTAATATTTTCTAATCTTTTATGTTTAAAATATATCGGAATGCTTACAATAAAACGTGGTAAATAAAATTCACACTACAATATATCTTATATATAATCGCACCAATAACAGCGAATATACTCTCATTAGCCCTTTTATTCTTGTTATTTGAAACTTACAATAAAACTTTGATATTTAAAAGATTGTTACAAATTAGTTACTCTCCAATTTAATATTTAAATAACATATGAAAACATACATAAAAAAATTTGGAGGATTTAGAAGAAAATATTTAAATATATTAACAAAAATTGAACATTACACTAATACCTCTAAATTTTACCTCTACTTATTCTAGCCATTCTTTAATATATTGACATTTGATAGGTGTAACAAATCCTTTGTCATGACATTCTCTTCTCACCTGAAAAACGAAAAGTAATATATTATATTAAATATATATTTTTGAAAATTATAAAAAACTGAAGTCAATACTAGCTCAAAGCAGAGAATGTGTTCATGTAAGATAATACACAATTAGATTTTTAAATTACTCCGGAATATGCTGATTTTTATTTATATTAAGCCCATTCTATAATTGCATAAGCGCAGTTGTAAATGGCTGTAGCTGTAAGAATTGATTAATCACAGTCGAACTTTTCTTCGTATTTGACTGTGATTGGTTAATTCGTACAACTACAATCATTTATAACTACGCTTACGCAATTGTAGAATGGGCTTTAAAGCTCTCCTTACAATTAGTTAAAAACAAATTCAATTTTTAATCAAAAACTATTTTTTTAAATGCATAAAAAAGTAATTATACTATGAATATTTCTGTATTTTTAGATTTGTATTGGTCTTTATTTATTTTTTTAATAATTTATTGTAAGAAATAAATGTGTGGCTTTGCAGCAAGACGGTGGCTTGCTAATATGAACTACTACGAGGCTTCGGTTCGAGTCCCGGTATCGTGTTCGAGCATCCGACATTTTTTCTCAGCCCAGCTCTTACATTGTAGTAGAGCTAATTATTGACTATCTAAGTGATTTTATTCAATAAACGTAATGTATTTATAATGTCTTACCGGACACAAACCGCAAGGGATTTTAACTAATTCAGCTGAACTCAACACAGGTTGAATCGCTCTGTATAAATTGTTTCCATCACTTGTGGATGTATGTTCAACCTTACCATCATAAATTAATGTATTTAAAATCACTTCTATGTTAGTTACAGTTAATTTCACCTATGAAAATATCGATTATGTTTAGTAATAAGTTTTAATAAAGTATACAAAAAAAAATATTTTAATGCGTAAAAAATACAACCTTACTTATTCCTAAATCCGAAATATATTTTAAAACATCCTTAGATGAAGCATATGTCATATTTCTTGCAGCAATAGGTCCAGCGTTACAATTTTTTGCCTTTTCTCTTTTTTGTTCCAAAAATCTATAACATTGTTGATTCAATACATCAACAAATTCCGTTTCAAAATCTTGATCTTGATACCAGGCACCACCTGTTACAGACTCATCTGGTTCTAAGTTATATAGCATATATACTTTTTTCTTACTGGCTGCTACAGGTTTAACAACTTTGACAAACTTGTTAGTTTCTAGGCTTTTCAAAATTTTTTCTAATGGTTTAATCATCAAATTAGATTTAATTTTTATATCTCGAATCCATATTCCCTTGTTCCCTGCTTCTTCAATAATTTTAAATACTATTTTTTCTTCATTGTCAACACATTTAGCAAATTTTATTGGATCTTTCAAGCGATAATATAATGAGTTTGCTTGTTGAAAAAGATCAAAGTATCCTTGAGTCAAAAGTTTATTTATAATATTAGCTCGTTGGTCTGGTTTTAAATCAGGTGTTGAAGCAGCTAAATCTTTGTCCGAAATACCTTTAGGTTTATCTCGTGCAAGAGCAATTATTCTGTAAAAAAAAAGAAATGAGATATGTAAATAATGATAAAGTGATAAATTTAATTAAAAAAATATAATGTATAAAATGTAATAAAATCTAATTGTTTTTCACTTCAATAGCTTACTTTCTTTTATGTAAATTATTAAGATCTTACAATAAATACTAAATACAAGGTAACACGTAATAAATTTATGTTAGTCAAAGTTTAATGTCTCACTGTAATGGTTCAAGTATTAAACTACGGTAAAATAAGAGGTTTATTCTTTGTAATTATATCACAATTTTGATTTTTCGTTTTTTTTCTTTTTTAACATAAAATTATGAAATATATATCGAATGCAGGAAGAGAACATGATATGATGTAACTATAAAATAAGTTTCATTCATACTTTTGCTCAATTGATTCGAGCCCTTCCAATGATGCGATTTTCAACCCGTTTGCAGCACTCGACGGTAGCGCCATCTGTTGACGGCCTGGCGCAACTGGTAGCACACACAAGCAAAGCTCTTCTTCTTCTTCCTTAAATAATGGCTCCCGCCTCCAAGCAATGAAATAAGAGGTCAATACGGCCAGAACCGTACAAAAATATGAAAACGAACGGGTAATGCAATGCCCGCGAAAATGGCGTTGCTCGACCGGTTTTCGGGCGCCTGCGTCTACGGCGTCGTCACGTCGCAATAACGCGCGTTATAAGAACCCTAGTCGTCGTAAAGTGCAAAATGACGAACAAGCGAGACGAGCTCATCCGCAAACACGCATCTGTGTGACGCAATGCACAGACAAAGTCGGCAACACTTTCAAAAATATACAATAGAAAGCACCCGAACCGAAACACGTCCGTCGCCGTCACGCTCGAATGGTTCGTCGGAACTCATATAAGTAAAACACGTGTATGTGTGACCATGGTGGAAATACAAAGGTTTATTGGAGCATGGCCACCTCAAAAATCGAATTATACTCATTCGACGCGTTTTTGCATAAAATAAAAGAATCTGGTAGAAAAAAAGCGTCGCTCTGTCCCGCGAACCGAGATATTAATCGTTAAAATTCACGACTATTCAGGTTAGAATATCTGTCATACCAATTCGATATGAGATGAGCCTACGTAATTTATTTTGGTGCGCATGCGCTGTGATCACACGCTGATGCGTATGCAAGTTTTGTTGGCAGATAAAATATTTTTGCTATAGAACAAAATGTACACAATAAATAGTACTTTTATAAAATATCAGAATTATTTTTGTTATAAATTAAAGATTTTTGTATTAAAATATTTAATACATGTAATTAAAACTAAATTTTATTTCAACGTATATATATATATATATACCAGGAGTGTAAGTTGAAATTTGCCGGTTTTTTCGTTAAAGAAAACACATAATTTTCAGGGGATCTCAAAATATTTTTATTCAAAGTATTGACCATTTGATTCTACACATTTCGCCCATCTTTTAGGCAAATTCTAGATACCATTCCAAAAAAATTTTTTCTCTTTCGAGGAAAACCATTCGACGAGCCATTTTTCGACTTCTTCAAAATTGGCGAAGTGCTGCTCTGCAAGTGAGTGCCCCATCGATGCGAAAAGGTGGAAGTCGGACGGAGCGAGGTCTGGAGAGTACGGCGGGTGCGATAATATTTCCCAATTAAGTGTTTTTAATGTGTCCTTCACGGGTTTAGCGGCATGAGACGGCGCGTTGTCATGTTGCAAAATAACTTTGCCATGTCTTCGGGCCCATTCCGGTCGTTTTTCGATCAATGCATAATTCAAATTAATAATTTGTTGTCGGTAGCGAGCCGTATTTACCGTTTCACCAGGTTTTAATAGCTCGTGGTACACCACACCATCCTGGTCCCACCAAACACAGAGCATTGTCTTACGGCCAAAGCGATTGGGCTTTGCAGTGGATGGGCCGGCTTCACCAGGTGAAAGCCATGATTTTTTTCGCTTCGGGTTCTCATAATAAATCCATTTTTCGTCTCCCGTGACAATCCGATGCAAAAAAGACTTCCTTTCGAACCGTTGAAGCAGCATTTCACAAACGGTTTTTCGATTTTCCATTTGCCTGTCGTTCAATGCGTGTGGCACCCATTTTCCATACTTCTGGATCTTTCCCATGGCTTGTAAACGTTGGCAAATTGCTACTCGGGACACATTAAGTGTTTCTGCCAATTTTTGTTGTGATTGGGTTGGGTCTTCATCCAACAACACCTGCAAATCTTCGTCTTCAAACCTTTTCGCTGCACCAGGATGTTCATTGTCTTTCAAATCGAAATCACCACTTTTAAATTTACGAAACCATGTCTCACACGTTTTAATCACTGGAACATGTTCACCATAAGTTTCTACTAGCAAACGATGTGCTTCAGCTGCTTTTTTCTTTTGATGAAATAAGAAAAGCAACGAATGCCGCAAATGCTCTTTATTTGGAACGAAACTCGACATATTTATTGATATAAACGACTATGGCGCTATTATTTTGACGGAATGAGACTTCGGTATTTTGGAGGTTAATATCCATAGAACAAAATCGTATATATGTCAAATCATAGAGTAGTAGTATATTCGTTTATTGGCTTCACATGAAGTATACAGCCATCTTACAAAATCAAATCATAGAAATGCCTACATCCTGCTAGCGACACCTACTATAAAAACCGGCAAGGTATAATGCAAAATTCACTTTCATCCCTTTTTAATCCTAAGTTAAAAAAAATCTTATGACAAATTTTCATAAATAATAAATAATTATTTGAACAAGGAATAGGAAGTGTAAAATGATACAAAAAAAAATCAATATAAATGTAACAAATAATACATTGTTTCAAAATGTTTTAATATTTAATAAATCATACATAAGATTCGGGAAACTCGAATGTTACGTCCCGCCCAGTCAGTTGCTTATACACCGAAGCAAAAGTATCGACCTGTCAAAAGATGAATTAAAATTTGTAAATCACATTACAATATTAAATAAACAAGGTTCTATGTATAGAAAATGGATGAGTAAATGTACCTTGTGTTCAATATTCGTTTGTTCATTTTTGTCCAAATGAACTTTAATAACTTGCGAGCCATCAAGTTTTACTCGAATTCGTTTGCCCACAATTTCTACAGGATAAACAATATCCTCCAGCAAAGCGTCATATACCGAAGTTAACGTACGACTGAAATATAAACATAAATTATATAACATAAATTTAGAATTCAACATAGTTAAATACATATTAAATATTAAAATAATCAGTTTTTACAGATAAATAAAATAATGTTAATACTAATAATGCAATAACTGTAGACATAACAACTGTCGCCTATTCTTATTAGTTGGATTTCTTGCATAGTTCAGTGCAGTTTTTTTCCTTTTTTTTTTCTTTAAAAAGAAAAATGAATCATGCAAAAAGTTCGGCTATCATCCGTTTTTTATCAATATAGATTAATCTTAGTTCAACTAATTTTTCATCTTTTTCTAGTTCTAAAAATTAAAAAAAGATTAAGAATAAATTGAACCAAGCATTAATTGTACTATTAATTGATAGAAACAAGCATAAAAAGAACAGGCTTAAGCGGGGAGCACAGACTTTTGCATAACGCATAAACCATATACATAAAGAATTTGATTGGTCCATTGACTCATGCATAAGAAAATGGGCCAATGAAATTCCTTATGCACATGCTTTATGCATTATGCAAAAGTCTGTGTTGAGGCTCTTATAATTAAATTCCACTTGTCCAATTATATAAAACCTATTATATTTTTATTTTTTTTACCTTCTAGGACGCTTCTGCTTGTTCTTCGTACGCGTCTTTCTCGTCGGCTTCGGTAAGATTTTACGTTCACCGACAAACATTACGTGTTTGCCAGAGAACTTTTTCTCTAGCTCACGTACTAATCTTGTTTGAATCTTTTGGAAAGCTTTCAGTTTTGGCATCGGTACATATATGATGATTGACTGTAAAACATACAAACAGTTCAATATAATTCTCTACAAGAGAGTATTAAACAGAAAAATATACACTAATATTCATACAATACAAGAATCTTGTTGTAACATTGCTGCAATGTTGCTGTGATATTTACATCTGTATACATAATCAGACTCTATATTTAAAGCTTTCTTAAATTTAGATATTTAGTAGCCAATAAAATAATTTATAGGGTATCTGAAGATAAATTTAAGAAACCTTAAATATAAGGCTTTACTAATTATAAGAATAAGTATTAATCTATTTTCTATGGCTAAACTAGTGTATCCTTTTGAAACTTAAGAGTTTAACTTAATAAAAGTTACTTAATTAAGAGTTTAACTTAATAAGAATTTATCTAAATCTTACTTAGGCCTAGTTTCACAACTTATAATTAACTCTTAACTGAAGTTTAACTTATTCCTTATCTTTTTCTAATTCTAAAATTGGAAACAGATGAGAAATAAGTTGAACCTTGGTTAAGAGTTAACCATGAATTCTGAAACCAGGCCTTAAAGTAAGATTGAGTATGTTAGATATTTGGCAACAATAAGAGAATTCTAGCGTAATTTAATACAGGAATAAAAAAACAGATCTACTTATCACTGGATTGATATGTGCTACATGAGGAATTGAAATTTACCTTCTTATTGTTTGTTTCTAGTTCCTTCGCCTTCGTGATGTAAAGTTCTCTTAAATGCGACTTCAGGTCGCTGTTCATTTCCAATTCCAGAAGAGCATTGGAGATGCTCGCCTCAAAATGGTCAGGCTCAGAGCCGCCGCTCTTAATTATTTTGGCGTTAGCCGTGAACATCTGAAAGAGATCTTGAGGTTAGAACATTGTTTACAAGTACCACCCGCACGTTCGTGCGAGATACTCGTCGGGACATCAAGTGACAGCGTTAACTCCAGCGTGAATTCGTTGGAATCTCGCGGAGACTCTGGAGACTGTTCTCCTGACGTGAGAGTAACCGCCGACAACGCGACAGCGTGGCATTATGGTAAACGCGAGGATTACGAGAATCGACGAAATCCGTCGTAATCACGCCTTTGATCCGCGATCTGGTAAAATTATCAATCGCTTCACGTATCTCGGATTTTCTGGCGTCGCGCGACGCAGGATTTCATTCATCGTTGTCATTAAAAAAGCCGCAAAGCGCTAAATGCTCGAAAATGCCCACCTTGTCCACCTGGCTATCACATGAAAAAGGGGCCGGGACAAAAAGATAGTTAGAATGAATCCTCGTGCGTTTTTTCAATCCACGAGTCGCTAGTATCGACATCGACTGGCCACGTGGTCGTTCCCTTCGCGCCAAGCTTTAAAACCCACTTTACAAATGTGTGTTCTTGGCTTCTTTATCCTTGATTTTTACCAGCTTTGATCTCTTGAATCTGTTGCTATTTGCATTTTAACCTGTTATTCTTCATTAGATAAGTTTGTGCAATAAATGAAAGAATATTCGCTGAAATTACTTATTGAGAGAGGAGATTATTTCTTTGAACTACGTATTTGAAATCTTACTCCGACAGCCAATCAGCACGTGTGAGAAACTCGCGTAAAGTTGTAGACATGCGGTTGTCCATCTAGATATTAAATACGCTTCGCTCTAATTACGTCCTCTAATATTTATTTTCGCGTGTTGTTTTGCAAAATTTATCTTTCCGTCAAATGTTTTTTTCTCTCAATTTAATGTAATTCTACGATTTTGTGAAGTCTTTTAATGAATAGTATTGATTCTCTAGTCTATTTCAAGAACAAAGCAAGAGAAAGTTGTTTTACAGTGTATTAAAATTTTTGAAGCTTTAAAGTAAAACATTAAAAAATTTGATTCATTTATTTATTCATACTAATGGACATTATTCAGTCAATAAAATTTATTGTGTAATTATACTTAATTGTAATATAATATAATGGATAACGGCAATATGATGGATGCAGTGAGTGGCGTACATGATTTAACAACTGGTATAATCTGTGATAACTGAATGTATAAGTTTGAATGTAATATTTATTTAATAACGATTTTTTTTCTTATTATAAAGTTTCACTAGTGGAAAGAAATACCATGCCGCAAGGCATATCATTAGTTGATCCAACCGCTGTAAGAAAATCAAGTAAACAGAATTTAATGGCGCTGGTTGCGGAAATTGAAAAAGTAATGTACCATATATCGTTGCTTAATATTTATAATTAAATTATTTATTTAATTTAATTATAATCATTTTGTTATATATCTACTAATTTATGATAATTTATTTTTTTTATATAGGCAGATATCTGTGTAAAAAATAACACATGTAACAAATTACAAATAATCGCAAACCAGATCAGATTTCTGCAAAGACAGGCTGAATGTGTTTTGTTTGAAACAAAACGGAACGTCACATTCAATCATATACCTTGCAATTTTGTAAAGCAGCCTGGTCACATATATCATTTGTATAAACGAGAATCAGGACAGTTTTACTTTTCCATGCTTAGTCCAGAAGTAAATATCTCTCTCTGTATCATTATTTTTGTAAAATCTTGTGTTAACTTTTCTTCTTGTATCTAGGAGTGGGGTAATTTGGCTCCATTACAGGATTACAAGGGTTCGTTCAGATTGGAGCAAGACCACTCATGGACCGCACTAGATCAGTTGCAGGACAAGAACGATGACTCGAACTTGCTTGAACGATTCTTACCTTCCGATGCAACCTTTATAGAATCGATCATGTTGTAATTAACGAATTTATATTATATAATTAAAAAATGAAAAATACAAACTAAAAAAGCATATTGCTAGAAAAAAATTTGACAACTGTAAGTTATTTCAATCTAATAGATTAAAGGTTCTTATTGTAACTCAATGAGTAAATTTATTTCGTGATATAATGTAGAGCTATTTATAGTCCCTATTTGTAAATATACATACATACAAATATATTTCTGTAGGTATATAGAATAGATGATTATTATCGTAGATATCTGTTTTATATGATTTGAAATTATATACATAATTTTTTAAAGTTATGTATATAATTATATACACCTCGTCGCGTCAAAACAATATCTATTTTGTACAAGAATAAATCGTACGCTAATACTTTAACTTCAATGCAATTAATTAACGGCTGTGCAATTAATTAACAAATGTCTTTTTCTATATGCAATATATGCATAGGTAATATAATTCTATGGCTGATTGTTATTTTTCACTCATAATGATCTTTAGATGATTATCAAAAGATCAATATAATTTTTGGAATTATAATACATTATATATTTTATGTGGTATATATATATATATATATATCATTACGTTTCTATAGGCAGTAAATAGATTTATGTTCAAGTTGACTTTCACTATTTCTAAGGTATTTGGAATATGACTTCAATGAGCAAAATGAATACATTTCAGTATAACTCACGATTAAAAGCTTCATGATAACAGCTGAATTCATGTAAAAAAAGCTTTACTTTGTTTTTCCACAAAACTTCTGCGAAACATAACATATTTAAAATATAATTATTTTCAAATAATAAAATATCATTTTTTGCTGAAAAAACGACATTAATGTACAAAGAATCGATTAACAAACATTTAATTTGTTTTGCCCTTTATGTAAAATTAAACCTCTAAAAATGAACAAATCTATACCAAAGTAATATGTCAATCATTGACGGGAACTGCGACGACTGGTTTTTGATTTCGTTGTTGAATCTGTATGTCAAGTAGTGTTCACTTTGTGTGCTGAAACATACAAATGATATATTAACAAATTGTTAAATATAAATTTATTAAAGAGACAAGAGCGAATGCTTACACGAGACTGGTATCCTGAGAGGTGCATCATCCTGTATAACACATTCATGCGTATGAGTATGAAAGAGATACTGTACCAAAAGTTGCTTGTCTTCTCCCACACATGGATCATAAAATCCAGGTAGTTGACTCTGCAATAATATGAGATTCCATATGACTTATAAATATTTCAATTTTTACTTCATATATACTTTGGTTTTTATAAGAAATGGATTACAAAAATTAAAAACGTTTTACATAACAATCAGTGACAGAATGAAATTAAGTGTGTGTGTGTGTGTGTGTGTGTATAAAATTGTTATTTTAGAAATAAATATTAAAGAGCCATTTACAATGGAGATAACTGTAAGAAAAATTGATTAGTCATAATCGATTACTCTCCTCATTCGACTGTGATTAGTCGATTTCTTACAACTTACTATAATTGAAGTAGTTTACTACTTCAATTATAGGAAACTGTCTACATATTAAATCTTAAGTAAAATAAAAAATATCAGATTTTACCCACGCACACACACACACACACACACACACACACACAGATTTTTTGGCAAAAAAGATTCAAATAAAATAAAGACTCTTGACATAAGAGATGAATTTATAAGGGCGCACCTTAGATGCCTTATGAAGGATCAGTTTAGAATCTTTGACTAAACATTGCAAAGGAATCGTTACGTCTATCATTTCATCTCTGTGTCCGCTTTCGTCCGTGATACCTCGATCTTGTTGTGGATAAACGAATCGACCGTACAATGCTTTAGTAATGATTAATCCTTTCTTGGATTCCTCCTCGGCTCTTATCCTGCTGACAGTTTCCTTCATTAGTTCAGTGGCCGCTTTAGCTTCCCTTTGTTTCTCCAACATTCGGGACTTGTTTATTTCTCTCTGTTTCTCCTTTTCCCTCTCTGTCCGTTCTTTCACGACGGGATCGATTATGAGTTTCTTAATGACCGTCCAAGTGATTATGGGCGCCACAGTGGCATAAAAGACCGGAGCTGGAAGAACTTCGTCACACAAATGGATAGGAAACGTATACGCCTGTGAGGCGCGACTCAATCTAAGTTTTAACGTGACGCCAGTTGGAACGCCGATGCGTACAGCCGCCGAGACCGAGCTATGCTTGGAGACCTTCTTTTCTGCACCATATTCGAGAAACGCACCAAATGTTCCAGCTCTATAAATTAGATAGAAAAGATTATACACAATTATTAAATTTACTGGAATGATTATACGCAATTATTAAATTTAATGGAATGAAATAACATTAACAGTACTAACTTAACACTACCACGAAGCTTAAGTTGCTTCTCTTCCATCTTGTACGTATAGTTAAGACTGACAAAAGAATGTAGAAGTCCGAAATGTATAGAAAACGCCGTGTACGATTGCGACGTGTCTCTCACAATCATTGTGCTCATGGCGTCTTGAATGCCAGCTCTGTATGTAAGGTATCCTACCGTGTGTTTATCCAATTGCATCGCAAGAGCTGTAAATATAACAATTTTATTTAAGATATTCTTCTATACATGAAGCGAACAAATATGCGAATACTATAAGAGACTAAGAATTACATGGTTACAATTATATTACAAAAATCGCAAGTGAACGTACTCCCAACGTAGCCAGCTTTCACGCCATGCGACGTAAATTGCAGTATCGTTGCTCCGTCACAAAATAATCGTTTTGTTAATGTACGAAATGCTTTAAGGGAAAACGTTGGACCGTTGCCAGCCCCAACCTCTACTTCAACCCAACCCTTTGAAGATACCAGTCTCTTCGCCGAGACATTAATGGACCCGGAACCTGTACCATTTTGGGTCCCGAGCTGGCCGGACATAGTCACTGTGTCCCTCAAGGTCAGAGGGGCTTCAATAGACTGTGCAAATGACATCCCGCTGACTTCAATGCATGAAAACAGCCCACTGCTGAAACCAGGTCCACAACTTTTTAATCAAGGATTATAATTATTGATTCGTTGATTTATATATATATAATAATACTGCTTAATAACAAAATTTCATTATTAAGCAATCTACTATGTTTTATCATAATAATATCAATGTTTTATTATAATAATTTAGACTCATCAATCTTACCCATCGTTGTAATCTTCATCGTATTTACTGAAAAGATCGGTGGCATTGATGTTTACCGTTACAGTGCCTTTGGGATTAGTGTGCTGCTGCAGACGTCTCTCCTCTCTCTCCCTCGCCAGCCTCTCGTATTCCTCTCGAATCTCTTGAGGTGTTTTTGTACGTTGCACAATTTCCCATCCTTCCGTCTCCAATCCACGGATACCCAGCGAGTCATAAATTGCCCTTTGATGTGGATCGTTCAGCACTACAATACCAATCATTTTACATCTAAGCTTTATAATTAAACAAATAAACCCCAATATAATATACATATAGTTTTAATGCTTTAAGCAAATAATTCATATTGCAAATAAATAAAACATTTAATAAACATTTTATTTCATAACTTGCTACAGTAATAATAATAAAAGGAAAATAAAAATAATTACAAAATATTAGCTACATGAAATCAATTCTAAATCAATATTTTCCTGATGCAAATATACATATATCAAGTATATTATAATAACCTTCATACGCTTTCTTTGTGCGATTAAAAAGAATCTCTGCTTCCTTTTTAAGCGTTGGGTCCACATGCTTATCTGGATGGTAGAGTCTACTAAGTCTGCGATAAGCATTGCTGATATCCTCAGGACTAGCCTGGAACATCAGAGACATTCATTACAGCAGAGAATATATGATTGCATCATAAATAAAAGGTAGCTTTTATGAAAGAAAAGATAAAAAGGGACAGATTTGAAATGACATTCATTCATTCGTAATGCAAAGATTAAACGGATTTGCGACCTGCAATAAAAAATTGTGTTACAGGATAAAAAAAATATGCTAGGAACGAGCGATTGGCGAGGCAGCATCAACGTCGCGTTTTCCAATCAATTCATTTACGATTCTTCGCGTTGGTCGCGAAGAACCAAATCCTCTGGAGCGTCGTTACGTCAGCGTGCCGAAAACGAAGGTGTCACGTGGAAGGCGTACGAGACTCGATTTCTACCCCCTTGAGAAACCGGGCGAATTGCATGAGGAACGGATCGTCGAAGCGTTCTCACGTTTCTCGAGATGTTCAGGAACGTGTAGTAGTCATCCTCGATCGTGGTATCCTGATCGGTCTCGTCGTCCATTTTAAAAGTCGCGAATTTCGCACGCTCGCCGACGAGTCTCCGGTGAGCGGTGAGCTCAGGCGCCCTGTTTCTTTTGGTTTCTTTCCTATAGCTTTTTATAGGTTACCGTGCAGAAAGAACAACACGGGCCGGTAGGACGCGTGGTTCCCCCGGACGCTGCTAGATGGAGCCCGCTGTCCGAAATTTTACCCGGAGTGAGAGAGATCGGGAGGTTAATTGTCGAGTATTGTCGGACAAGAAAATCGCGAAGATGTGATTATCCGTTAACAAGCTGCTCGTTATTGAATCACTCGCGAAGTGTCATCGCCGAGCTAAATGCGGGACATGGTGAGTGAGTATTGCTAACGAAATTGCGACGAATCTTAGTTTTGCCACGTATCATATTTCACGAATGAATAACATCTAGTTTAAGAGCATTTTTTAAGTATCTACTAAGCCATATAAGGTGTCGTATAAACAAAATTAGTAAAAGCGTAAAAGTTGTCTGTTAAATAAGCGTAAAACGTACCATTTGGTGCAAAAAAATATAAAAGATATATATTCGTAGATGTATTTAATATATTTAATATATGTTTATGATACAGAATATTTAATTATAAATTTATATCTATATATTACATGTTACAATAAATTAATCCATAAATTATTTTTATATTATTTGAATATTATAAATAATTCTCTTTATATTAATATGAATAATTATTTAATTTGGAAGACACAATCACATAAATATTTTATGTAAACTGAATAATCTTAATATGATGTACAGATAAATAAACATGAATCTCTTTTTATGGGCAGATCGCTTGTTGAGTGTTAAAATAACACAATGCCTGGAAAAATAAAGGTGAAAATACTGGCAGGTCGCAACCTGCCAGTGATGGATCGTTCTGGTGACACGACAGACGCTTATGTGGAATTAAAATTTGGCAATATAACTTATAAAACAGACGTGTGCCGAAAGTCGTTAAATCCGCAATGGAACTCGGAATGGTATAGATTTGAAGTTGATGATGCAGAACTACAAGATGAACCGTTGCAAATCAGATTGATGGACCATGACACGTATTCTGCCAATGATGCAATAGGCAAAGTTTATGTAAATCTGAATCCGTTATTGTTGCCTGGTGTACTGCCTTCTGTAAAAAATATTTGGACCCTAGAGGCAGCTACTGCTGGTTCGCAAGGTATATATGATATATGTAATACAAGAAATATACTTATACATTTTACATATTTTTAAATATTTTCTTTTTGCCTTATACATTTTATAGGGTCAGTTATGACTGGATGGATACCTGTATATGATACAATGCATGGCATACGCGGTGAAGTTAATATTATCATTAAAGTAGAGCTATTCTCTGATTTTAATAAGTTTAGACAGTCGTCCTGTGGAGTACAATTTTTTTACTGTAAGTATATTTAATTTTTACAGCATAATAATTTTAAGATAAAAATAAATGTTATGTAGACTACTTCATTTTAAATAGTATACTTAATTTCATAATTTATTTTTTATTAAATTGTTACCTTTTAAAATTTAATATCTACTTGCGTAAGTCTATTAAAGAAATATTTTGAGATTTACAATAAATATTTTAAATACATTTTAGCACCTAACATACCATATGGATATCATGCGCAAATGATACATGGATTTGTTGAAGAACTTGTAGTTAGTGACGATCCGGAATACAAATGGATTGATAAAATAAGAACACCTAGAGCATCGAACGAGGCACGGCAGACTTTGTTTTTTAAATTGAGTGGAGAGGTCCAAAGAAAGATTGGATTAAAAGCGCTGGATCTTGGTGGAAATGCTGTAATTGGGTAAATTTTATTGTTTTAGCAAAAAAAACTATTATTTATTTTTATTATTTCATCACGTTGCTCAAATAAAAATTAAATTGGGTATTTAAAACATTTTGGTGTCTAAATATTGGTATTTTTATTTTATAATTTGATATTTGGCATATCAGGTATCTGCAAAACTTTGATCTGGAAGGTGAATCCGGTATTGTTGCCAGAGGTATAGGTACAGCAGTGACGCTTGTAAAACTGCACGACGTTCTCGGTTTTCCTTGCGACAGCATTAATATCGAGGAGTAGGTATTTCTATTACATATCCAGTTATGAATTACCGGGTAGTCCTTGTTGAAATATAAATGCGCATTCGATCATAAATGATAAACGATAAATTATCGCGCAATTGCGTCTGGCATCATGCGAGCCAATTAAGTAGGTGTCGCCAACTCACATAATCTACGATAAAGTTGGCGCTTCCAAACGAGCTATTTCAAGAATTTCGTACAAGGAAATATAGCTATTTCTATTTTACGGCTGAGGCATTCTATTTCCGTGGCTGAAAGTAATTTGCGGCAGATAGATATGGACGACCCGAATTTATTGGACGAATTAATTTTATCTGCAATTAAATGCTGATTATCTTTCATTTAGGTTCTCGTTACTTTGATATTACGAATAGATCAAATCAAATTGCTTATCGTCGTTAATAACACGTCGATATCTGAATTGGCAGTCGATTGATATTAAGATATTTTCTTAATTCTATATCTACTAATTTGGTCTAATCTTTTTTACGTAATAAAAAAAAGTCAGCTTTACATTTTACAGTTTCTTTGAAGCATTTAATTTTATGTTCAATTGTCGAAGAAGACACTCTATTATACTATATTTACTCCTCATCATAAAATAGCTTCTAAATTATATTCTTTCCCGATCGCTTAAATTAAATCGTCCATCTCATTGTTCTTAATTATATTGTACTTTTTAGGAAGTATACAAATTAATTGATACTTTTCTTCTCTTTCCTACCCTCATGCGTTTGCATAGGATCGCATTTGCGCTTTCCTCACGCACAATAGCGCGAACGGAACGTTATGCTGACAACAGCGCGCCGTTCATTCCCATTTCAATTCCCGCTTCGTATCCCATTCGTACAAATAGGAATCTCCCGTTTTACATGCAGTCTACGTCGTCTCTAACGCGCCTGGAACGCGCCGCAAAGGCTCCTAAATATTTTACTGGAGCGCGAAGGAAACATGTCAAGCGTATTCCCTTTTTACGATCCAATACATCGAGCATGGTGAGTCTAAGAATAACTGCGTCCAGTAGCTCGGATGTCACTCCGTCTCCGGAAGTCAGCCGGAATTTAATTGATGAGACGATGAGGTCCATACGCACTATACTAACGCCGGAGGACACGAAAAAAGAATCACCGAAAGATCGGCTCTCCAAGCAAATCAAACACCTGCGTAGCAAATTTGACTCGGTCGGCGAAGAGAATCATTCTGCCGCAAAGTCCAATTCTGAAACCAATACAGTCAACTCGTTCTCTATGAATCCTGAGGACAGAAATCTCAAAGAAACCAAGACCGGTGGGATAATGGCCGCGTTACTAATTGAATCTATACATAAGATGCCTCTGGAAAATATGAAAAATACTGATCCTATTTCAATTTTTCCCAGCGAAAAACAATCCAATGAGGAGATAAAGAAGGAAACACACTGTGAAAATCCTAAAAATGTGAATAGTAACGTTCAGAACGAAGAGCAGAAACAGGATGTCGCGTCCTTGATCGATGAAACGGAGATGTCCTCTTTTGATGACGGTAATTCTACGGATGACGAATTGTCGGAGGACACCACGAGCTACAATATCTTGGACGATTCGAGATACTCGGTCGATAGAGATTCCGACAAAGCGGAGGACTCGTCGAGCCTCCAGGAAAGAATTCCCATCACGCACTCCAGCGCGGAAAGCTGCACGGATTCTACACTGCAGATGGACTCGAACGTAGCAACGAATCATACATCATCAAATCCGAATTTAACGAGCACGGAAGACATAATACGAAACGATGTAATCCCCATAATTACCGTGGACACTCAAGACAGTATAGACTCGGACACATCGATCAACATATCCGGATTTTCAAATAGCGAAAGTCAGCCAGATATTATAAATTCATACGTTCTTGCCGAAACCAATATCTTTACTTCAAAATTATCTCGTTCGTCTGATAATCAAGAGATCAACGACTTAAAACAAGCATCCGACACTTCTGAGAACGAGCGTTTAAGAAATTTGGAAATGGATAATGATAAGCAACGTAGCAGTGTTATATCCAAGTCATCAGTTCCCGAGAAAACGTATCGTGTTTATTTGACGAAACATGAACGAGATTTATCGGCACGACTCGAGTCTCAAGACTGTGATCACACGAACGCAGACGAGGAGAAAAACGATCCGGCCATCAGTTTATCTCATGCGATGACCCGGACTAGTCTATCGAACGAAGAAGCTCGCGCAATGGCAACCATCAAGAGACGGAGATGTATGCACGATTTAATCAAGCTGATCGACACGAAGATGATGGTATCCACATGTCACAGCAAAAGAACTGTATCATTGAGGAGCAAGAGGAGAAAACACGAGAGGAAGATGTCCCGTAAGGACTCGAGAAAGTTGAGGAATTCGTTTGACAAATTTCTTTCCTACGGCGCATCCACGAAGAGATGTTTATCACATAGACGTCCCGAGAAGGACGTTTCTCTTCGCGTTTCTCGTATTCGCTCGATTCCCGATCGCCTTTCCTCAGGTCAGCATCCGATTCCCCATACTACTTCTCGTTCTTGCGACTCCTCTTCCGTTAGTTTAACCGACCGCACGTGCATATCTCCATCTCCTGCGTTCCACCGTCCGCATGACGGTTCATCCGGAATCTTGGGAAAGTCGCCGAGGAGCGGCCGCAAGAAATCCGACGCGGTACCCGCGGTATCTATCAGTTGCGCTTGTAATCTAAAAGAAACGTGTCATATTGATTGCGCTATGCCCACTAACAATGCTAATATGACTTACAACTCGCGTGTGTCCCATCCTTCTCCCGATCTTAGGCAGCAAGATGAGACGTCGGTCAGTCCGTCCTGTCCGCTTCCGGCCGTTCCCACGATGGCGACGAAAATGTCCCAGTCACCAGCGACTAGAACGCTCGCCAACGTACCGCTTCACCGGAGATCTAGTGATTCCGACCTGAGCGTTACTCCTAAAGGTATATTGAGT